CTTGAAGAAAGGTACATTTGTGAGCATTCAGGCTTTGTTATAGAAAACCTGACTTTCTATCCCTCATTTAAATTGATATGCTGATAGAAATAGGGCAGACTGAATAATTTTGATGACTAATTCAACTAATGGTCTAGCAGCTCAGTATTTCTTTCTGTTCTACCACATTATTTCACCACTGTATGTGCCCATGGTATCGCCTCTGCAATCCTGGAGATATAATCAGCTTCTCTATGTTTCTACCTTGTCTGCTTTATCCTCCTGAAACCATGCTATTAGTAAAAAGCAAGAACTTCTTGCAGATATATAATGTCAAAAAGACATTTCCACTAATATGTATATTTTAATACTGGAAATGATAAAAATGATTTATTAATGTTTTCTATGTTATTTTTGCTTTTGAATGAGAGGCAGACTTTTAATTAAATCTTCTCAACAGTTATAGCCCATCTGCATACTCTGCTGTCTAACAACTCTCCAGTTTTTCCCTCACTGAGTGCACTAATAATACCTCTTCTTTTTGCAAAACTGTTGCCTGGAACTTTTAGACTGTCATTGTGCAGGTAATTATCACATAGTACTTCTTAATTTCTTTAAGAAATTATTCTGGAAAAGGAAGTGCTACTGATATGCTTTCCCTCATATTTTCATAACCTATCCCTTATGTGTGGTGAGTGACTGATAAACAGTCTTATTTATGGAAACTTTCTTCTTGGTATCTTTCAAAAATCTTTATGTTTTTGTTTTCTGGTGATCACAGTAATATTTTCTCAGCTTGCTTTCTTATTCATAAAGCACTGTGTTCTGTCAAAAAAACGAAGTTGGCCCAGGACTAGGGCAGTACAAATTTGAGAATTTTTTCCTTAGGAATCCTTTCCTATAGTAGATAGAAATAATGCCCTTGGGTCTGTAGAGCTCATATAATGTTCTCGCTGCTTCCTCAGTCTGGTAGCAGTCTATTGACAACACAGGATTGCTATTTCCACTTTAATCTGTAGAGTTTTAAATCTGCAGTCCCCTCAGATCTTATAGTTTCTGCCAGGAAAACCTCACTGCAGGTAATTTTCCAGTCCAGTTGTACCAGTGTGAACTTTTCCAACAGGAAGTCATGAAATGAGGAATCTTCAAGTAAATAGTGATGTATTTCCTTAGTCGATGAAGATAATGACCTAAATTTTGTCATTTTTTTATTATTCATCTGCTTTATACTCTGAAAGTCGTGTGTATCCAAATAACTTCTCAACAATATGGATTCTGCTGCCAGAGTATATATATATGTGTGTGTGTGTGTATACATTTTTTTTCTCTTTTTTTTCCCATTAAGCATTGTTTCTGCTTGTATGAGAGTCATCAACAGTTTCTGCGGGATGTTCTTGCTGACTTTCCTCTGAAGACTGGCAGTTTTGTGAAATATTTCTAAAAGCGCTCCTTTACGTCCTCTTTGGAAGGTTGCTGACGTGAATGTAATTCCTGTTTTAGGTGTGCAATGAAGCTATTGGAAATCTGTGTATGAGAATCAAAACTCAAAGGTTCTAAAGTAAAATAAGCTTAGAAAATGTATGTGATCGCGTTAAATCATATGCTAGTCTACATTTTAAGTGTTTTTCTTAAATCTCCATGCACACTTATATCCCATTTAAAAAAAAGAAAAAAAAAGTAGGTCATAAACCATGTTGAGACACCTTGTCAAATTTGTATGGGATTTCTGTTAACTCACGGAATTTTGCCTTGGAAGGTCAGTGTTGAAGTCATACTTCATTTCGTACGGCTGTCTGCTGCCATCTGTCTGCTCTGCAGTGCCGAGTCAGTGGTGCACCATTACATTTACATATCAAATTGCTGCTGTTTTGTGTGCTTTTGATAAGCTGTTAGATTTCTGATGCACTGTTTACCCCATTTCAAAGTGGTTTCTCTTGATCTGCTTTGACACATTATGGGAAAGCAGATTGCAGGGCTGAAAGTTTTGACTGATGTAAACAGATTCAGAATGGTAAATCAACCCTAAAATCATTGAATAGTTACACACAGGTTTTATCCCATCTACTTGAAAATCGTATGCTCCTGATTCTTAACTATTCTTTTTCTTTTTCCTCTCTACGTAATGCCATTTTGGATTTTCTTTATAGAATCCAAGAAGAACCAACCTAATGTTATCTCTTCTTTCTGTCATTCTCACAACTGTTATGGTGATAGCAGTATTCCAATGTACTAGACGAGCTCCTTCATCCCAAGGCCTATGGAGGGCTTTTTCTTGCCTCTTTTTCTATATTTTTCTTCTTTTTTTGTTCTATCCATAAAATCTTCTTAGATTGAAAATTATGGAAGTGACCCATTTCCTACCAATTCTGTATGTTAAAGCCTGTTACATCTCATAACTGTGACAAAAATTGTAAGAGGAGAAAGAAATGGTACAACATTAATTTATTTCTCAGTCTGATTAAACAGACACTGTAAGCAGTATATAAATATTCCATTTTCATTGCAGATGTTAATACTTCAGCCTTCCTTGGGTTTGGTCTTGTAGATTTGAAGTTACAGTGCATAACCAAGAATGCAATCAATATGAGGATGGTGAGGCAGTGGAACAGGTTGATGTGGTTGATGCACCATCCCTGGTTTCAAGGCGAGGCTGGGTAAGGTCCTGGGCAGCCTGATGTAGCTGTGGTGTCCCTGTTCACTGCAGGGGAGTTGGGCTACATAGCCTTCAGAGGTTCCTTCCAACTCTAAGGATTGTGTGATTCTATGAAGTACTTCGTATATCAAATGTCACCTCCATTTCACTATGCTACCATTAAATAATGATTTTATTATTTCATATTAGACAAATTGATTCTTTGGCAGTTATACACATTTTCAAATTTGTTAATTTCAAACTATAAATTGTCAGTATTCACTTCAGGTTTTATTACAAAAGATTTTACTTTGTTTTAGTGAATTCAAGTTGTAGACAAATTTAAAAAAAAAAATATATATATGTTTTGTAGGAAATAACTTCGGTATTTTGCAGGTGAATATTAGAGATTTTAATTAATACTGCAAATTACTTAATTAAAAAAAAAAAAAGTTACTGAAATACTACCAGGAATTGCTCAAGCAGTCACTTATGGGCCTTCATTGTTTAAACAGCTGCACAGACAATTTAACTCAATATATTTGTGTCCATCATCAGATTATTCAATTTATTTAAGTAGAGAGTGGATGTTACTCAGGCTGAATTGCTGGGGGGGAAAAAAAGTGAAAGCTTCCTAATCAAAATGTGATGCTAAAGCATATCACTTACAAAAAAACTTCTTAATCTTACCTTCTGAGGCCGCTCTGACAAAACTGATGGTTATACTCTGTTTATCTGAGCCACTGATAATAAGTTATTATACTGTTTTCAGCAGAGACTGGGGATTCTTCTTCCATTCCTAGTATTATTTGGTAAATCTGTTTGTAGATTTGCATTCTGTCTGCTTAGGAGATCTTGCATGTACCATTGTATTTAACATCAGTGAAAAAGTCCTCAAGAAGAAATTTTCCAGCATAGGTGCTTGAAATCAGACCTTATATTGCATGGACAGAGACCTATGGTCTGCTTTGAAAAACTGCTGAGCAGTTACAGCTACAAAATTTCAATGGTTGTTCACAAATATGGAAAGCCTTGAAAAAGACTAATGTGTGCAGATCTTCAGAGACAAATATTGCTTACCCTAAATTTTGGTTTCCTACTCCAAGCCACGGTTTTCCAGAAAGACACGCACAGTTTAAATGAAGAAAGACCAACAGTGTTCATCCTGGCTAAGAGAAAGTAAAAAACAGTATCTTAATGCTTTTCAAGCAAGTACTCTATCAGTTATCTGTCCATTCATCTGCATTCACAGCCTTAAAAAAAAAAAAAAAAAAAAAAAAGAGAGAAAAAAGAGAGAGAGAAGCAGTGCAAGTCCCACGTAAACGGGGAATGTTTAGGTTGTCAGAGTGTGAGGAGCAGTTGAGTGAAAAACTTGTGGTAGAACAGTATTTTTTGGTAACAAATATTGCAATATTGTAAGTAACATTTCTGACATTTAAAATGGGATTCTTTCCTTCTAGGCACCTTACCAAATGGATCGACGTTTTATGGAAATTTAAATCAACAATTCACGAATTAAACAATTTTATCTGCTGATTATAGTCTTATTTCCATTGAAATGTTATCTCTGAGCAACAGTAGTGATTGACCTAGACGTGGTAGCTAACAATCACTAGCTCCCTTATAGCAAAATTAGAAAAGCCAACTTTACTATGATAAGACAGGATATAGGATGTATTTGAATGAAAAAATAAAGGAGAAAACGTTTCTTATACTTCAAGATGTGTTAGCTAAGCTACCTATTTTACTACACAAAACTTAACAAACTTTTTACTTTTGGTGATTCTATAGATTCGGAGAAAATCTTAAGAAACTAAATTGTCTGGTGGAAAACATCAATATAGAGTAAAAGTACGCTTTAATTTAAGCTTTCCTTACCAGCACTAAAATGACTTCGATAAGGGTGCCCTCTAATGGAGACTGTGGCTATGAAGCCTTGCTAAAGTTTTTTAGCTTTTGAATGGACTACTTATGTGGAAATGCAGAAATTTCTTCACATGCACATTTCAGTATGAGGTGACTGGAGAGAAAACATGCTTGTTTTTTTTAATGAATTTTTGAATTAATTAATTCATTACCCACTGTACAATTATTTGTCTTGAAGCACTCTTTTCTGTATATCCTCTAAGTGCAGAGACAAGGCAGCTTAATGAGACATTTAATATGTTTCTTCTAAATATCTTTGTATATTTATCAATTTGTTTTTGCTTAAATTTGAATGGGCTGTTCTGCAGGAAGGGTCTTAAATGCAGTTTTTTACTGCTGTTTGCTTTTCTGGTATTTTTAATTTTTTGGTTAATTTTTATTTTTTTGGTTATTTCCTAGTCACTTACTAGTTCACTAGCAGACTTTGAAAGGTTTTAACACCTCTGTTCTTGTTGTCCCCTAGTTCTTTGTCACAAGCCAGATGGCACAAGCTATGGAGAACAAAGGAATCGCAGAGCCAGCAACACAATATTTTCTACTATTAGTAAGCAGTTCGATGCAACAGCACTTCAGAATGAGCTGAAGCTGGACCTTTGGTACGTAGGGCTGCAGCAGCAGCACCTCGTGACATAGCATTTTTGCCTTTACTACTTCTACTTAAATACTGAAACTTTTGGCATGGATATACTGACTCAACACTATCAAAAAAACAAATTGTATTGAATTTGATGTTGAATTCTTAGACCACTGTCATAGAGTGAGTTCACACGTGTGACAGTTCTGCTGTAGGGTGCCATGTGAATGATTCATCCTAACATATACGAGAGGCAACTGCAAAGAAAAGCTGGGAGAATGTTGATAATGTAATGCCAAAAAGGAATCAAACAATGTGATTCGTAAAATGAGATGGCATGACTTCAGAAGAAAAAGGGCAACTGTTGACTAAGAAGGTAATATAAGTATGCATTAAGAAATTCCAAAGATAAATTTTTTTTTGACTGTTTGTAAGCATTGGGAATGATGCTGATCTTGGCTTATTTTCGTTTTGCATCAATCCAGTCCTTGGGAGGAAACTGTCCATTAATGCAAGCATTGTGACTTTAACATGGCCTGATGCCAAGTTGGAAATGTGATGCAGGAGACTAGACCTTTTGAAGCCTATTAGGAAGTGTCTCATTTTTTATCATGTCCATGAATGAAAAATTAGAACAGTAATGTACTATATGGTAATACTATTATTTGGCAGCAGGCTTGGACAAAGGGCAAGTCTGTTCTGTACTTTAAGATGATCTACTGTAAGTAGGAAAGAGATAAGACTGACTGAAAAGGTCAACATTTCTTTGCTAGGTTGTGGAGAAAATAGACGTGTCTAGTTATAAACCATAGCAGCTTCCATTTGGTTTTTACTCATTTTTATCAAGATAGGTACTAGACATTTCTTCCCCACAGGATCACATAATTGCAGGGATTGGAGATGACCTCTGGAGATCATTTAGTCCAAGCCTCCTGCTAAAGCAGGTTCCCTACAGTAAGTTACAAAAGAGTCCAATATGTTTATAATGTGAACATTTGTATCCATGCTTTACTTCTGTAACGGTAGACCTAAAGCAAGTTGTGCACTGCAATATGCATAGGATTGATGTGATTATAAACTGTTTGATCACTGTGTTTTCCCAGGGGTACTCTGCACTGGTGCAGCCTCTCACTGAGTACCATGCCAGTTGCAGAGGAAGTGACAAAACAAACAGCAGCTGGCCCCTTCATTTATTAGCAGTGCTGGGAAGCGAGGTGGGGGAAGCAAGGGAGGACCAGAAGCCATTGAATTTCTTCTCTCAGTTAAGTGAATATTCACTGGCCACATTACTTTTCCACTAAATGATGTCTTTTCCACTAAAGAATTATTGAAAGACTCATGAGAACTAGGTGCACTCCTTGGATGCTATCACTTGAAAAGCTTGCAGTTTATTTTTCAGGTGAATAGAATCTTAAGGATTTGCAACATTTCTTTTTTTTTAATTATTATTTCTTCTGTTGCCTCATTCTCATTTATTCTGTGAACAGTATAAGGCCTCATGCTAAGACAACCTATTAACAAAAAAGAAAAAAAAAAAAAAAAAAAAAAAAAAGGCATGAAAATGTATATTTGTAAGGAGCTTCTCAGTCAAGCTTTCCTGTTGTGATTCTAATGCATGCATATTATGCAAATTGAAACATTCTCTACGTGTGATATGACACACGTCTATTCTCATCCATCTATTTTTCATCGTGTACATTAGAGAGAAGCCTTGTCCTACTTCCACTGTCACAACTGCCCTTCCAAGAAGTGAAGGTCACTGTAAGAGCTGCTGGCTTTTTCACCTGCCTGTGCAGTATGTGCGAACAAGTGAGTCCACTGTTGCCAGATTACCATCTCCATCTACAGGCATACACTACCAAGACATCTAGGCTAGCATCTGGGCTTTCCTCACCCTGAAAGAGTGGTCATAAACACCCCAGAGAAGAATCTGCTTGTTGTATAACCACTTCCAAAAATAATTTGACATCCTTAGGGACAAATTCTTGGGCCAACTGTTCTGGTAGATAATAAAAGCCCTTAAACATAGCCTTGTTTTTTCATTCATATTTTCTACTACTTACTAGCTACTTTGCTAACTTCAAATTCTCGTTGTTTTCTGTTGATTTATACACGGTGTTTTTTGATGTTTAGGAGAAGCTGTAATTTCACTCTTGGTGATATTCTCTCTATAGTGGAGAGCTTCTGACTTCCAGCCAATGATATTTTGAAGGACTCTTCAGTGAGTTACTTTGTTCTTTCTAAATGGGGAATTCAGGGAGAAATCTAACATGGACTTCTTTTGCCTAGAGAGAGTGAGAGAGAGAGAGAGAAAGAGAGAGAGAAATCAGAAGTCTGTAGTTACAAGGACAAAACTGGAATTTAAAAAGCAACACAGTGCTGAAGGATGTGTTTAAAACGTGATCCCAGGTAACACGTTGTCCATGTATGGGGGGGTACCTTCTGTTGTGTATCAGTGTACTGCAGAAAGTTAATGTGTTCCTGGTAAACACCGTGTTTCTTAGGTGGTAATGCAGTAATACTCTTTGTTGCTCAGCCTCACCTTGAGCATCGGGTGCTGTTTGGGGCACCACAATATAAAAAAGAGATATAATTATTAGAGAGCACCGAAAGGATGACTACAAAGATGGTGAAGAGTCTAGAGGATAAAATGCACATGGAGTAGCTGAGGTCCCTGGGTCTGTTCAGGCCAGAGCAGAGGAGCTGAGGGGAAGCCTCATGGCAGCTGCAGCTCCTTGCAGGGAGCGGAGGGGTAGCACTGAGCTCTGCTCTGTGTGACAGTGACAGCACCTGAGGGAATGGAGATGTGTCAGGGGAGGGATGGGTATGTGTTGGGAAAAGATTCTTCACCAAAAGGTGGTGGGCGTAGAGCAGCTGCCCAGGGCTGTGGATGCGGCCCTGAGCTGTTGAGGAATCTTTGGACAATACTGTCAGTATTATGGTTTGATTTTTGGGTGCTCGTGTGTGTGACTGGGACTCAGAGATCTTTGTGGGTCCCTTCCAATAGGGTTACTGTGATTCCAAGAAATGTACTGATTATGAAGCAATACCCACATTGAGCACTCGGGGGTGCTGCGACTTCAACTATTGCAATTCACCCTTCAGAATCGGTTTTATTCCATCTGATAAAGTCTGTCACAAACTGATCAGCTCCACTTAGAATCCTTTCTCTTGTATAAAAACACCACATCCATGTGGGAAAGCTTTTGAGTGGCCTGTTTTAACATAATATAACAAATGACTTATTTTAGTATTCTGTGTTCTAAGTAAATACATTGGTTCTATAAAGTGCGGTAATTTTTAAATGCATTGTCACTATTAGCCAACTCCATAATCATCCCTATTTGGAATATCAGGCTTTTCCTGCCTCAAAGACAAACATGCCTCTGTTGGAGGCTCTGCAGGGCTGGGAAGTGGGTATCAAATCCAGCATAACCTGGAGAAATGCCCAAGCATGCCAGAGAAACACATGACCCGTTATCCATCCTAAAATGGTAAGAGAACAGCACTCTTTCAGCACCTCTTTCCTTCCATTATCTTCTGCCCATAATGGATTAGAAGCAAGTAAATATGAGTGCAGAAAACAGATCACATCTCTGAACATTTTCAAACTTACTTTTGCGGTGTTTGTGTGTTTTGGTAGCTCCTAAGAAATCTATTTCCAAAGAGATCTATTTCCAAAGAAGGATTGCTATCACCTGGATTATTACTCTGTTGTGAAAGGCAAATGCAAAACTTGTACTGTCTGAACATCAAAACCATTTTATGTTGTCCTTGTGTGCTTGGAAGTAGCAGAGATTTTAAGATACTTCCAGTGACTTCAGGTGGATTTAGCCCATGAGCAGTTTGTCTGTGACCACAGATAAAAACAACAGCTGTAAGTAGTCCATGCAGTCCTTCGGAGAGTTCCCGAGGGCATTAACTGGGGCAATAAGTGCAGTGCACGCAGGCCATGGCTGGAGGCCTTCAGAAATATAAGCCACAATGTTGAAAGTGCCACGGAGTCCAGGTGGGTGGATAAGTTAAATGTTTTGTTGTGGGCTTGGTTGTAGGCAGCACCTAGGCTTTAGATGCACGTTTTAAGAAGTCGAGCTGTTGGGACTCAGCCCAGCGCTCCCGGACGCCCACTCTGCCCTGAAGCCTGCAGCCAGCAGAGCGCCCCCTGCCGTCCGCCCCCGAGCAGCGTCCAACCGCGAGGTCGGTTTCCCGCCCTCCGCGGCCGCCGAGAGTCTCGACTGAGGCGGGCGCGGCCGCCTGCTTCCCACGGCACCCCGAGGCTTTTGAGATCTCCTGCTATCCCCAGTGATACTTCCCTCGTCCTCGTCGGGCGAAACCGGCCCTTCCCTCGGGCCCCGCCCCGTCCTTGGCCTCCGCCAGGGGGCGCGGCGGCGGTGGCCGCGGCTCTTCCCTCAGGCGGGGCCGGGCGGGGCTCCGCGGGGCTGCGGCGCGGAGCTGAGGGCTCGAGGCGAGGTACGGGGCGACCGGCAGCCGCGTAGCACTGAGGAGGAACACCTACCTGTGGCATGGGAGAAGTGAGTAAGTAGCTGCTTTCCGGGCTGCTTAGCGGGGTTTCGTCGGGACTTTGCTCTCTCGGTGCTGCTCTCGAGCTCCTGGCCCTCTGGTGACCCCCTGGTCTCGGCGGTGAGGGCGGCTGGAGTGCTGAGGGCTTTATGCCGCCGCATGAAGCTCTTCTGTTCCCCATCGCCTTGATATTCAGCTCTTTCTTTTCTTCTTTCCTTCTCTTCCTCCCCTTCCTTTCCTTCTCTCCCTTCTTTCACCCCCTCCTCCCCTCTTTAAACATTAATTGGCATAACCTTTTGGGGAGCTGTTTTACCCACACATATGAGGGTCTTTCAGTCATCAGCTTGTTAAATTTGCTCTCCATGCATGCGCCTAGCAAAGAAACCTCTGCTCAGCCCATGCCACCCCTGAGGTCCTGCTCGGTGTCTCTGTGCCCCACAGAACATACATTCCTCTTAATTGTCCATGAAAGATACATTATGATGTGGAGGTGGAGCAGGGTGAGCTATGGGGGCAGGATTTTGCTGTCTGCTCTCATGTTCCCCTGGTTGCTAAGCAGTAGTGACCACATTTGTGGGAAGATCGAAAAAGTGCATGGCGGACAGCAAGCAACAGCTACAAAGGGCACCAGCACGTTGCCACATCTGGCAGTCTTACTGGTGGGGAGTTCACGTAGTAAATCAGAACCTGATGCATTCTTTGCTCTTAGGCACCGTGTTACCTTAACCCTACACTTTTGGCGTTCCGTCTTGTGCTTCAGAGGGAGCAAGGTGGTTTTGTTTCTGTAGACGTGGTAATGGTGCAGAAATACTCCATGCATTCCAAACAAAGGGTACTACTTTGACCTTAAAGTGTCTTGTTCAGAAAATAAACGTGGGAACAGCCCTTATATTAAGGCATGTGTTTGTTTAGTGAGAAGTCATGTACGGGAAAGATTTTCCTCCAGAAAATAAGTGTCAATACGCTTTTCCCCTACGTATGTATGCCTACATATACAGTGTGTCTTTTTTACCAACGTGTCTTGATTCTGGGATGCATTAAAAACACTTTTAATTTGGGTGCAATGGAAAAAGCAAAGTGCAATAGTGGAAGTAAAATTATGGTTTTTATTCCAATGAAGCTTGTTAAGAGCAAATACTTATGCATGAGGGTTAGAAAAATAAAGAAAATAAACGAACTTTAACACTTTGAAGATGAATTTATGTCATGATGTGTTTATCATCTGATATATAACAAAACAGCACTATTATGGTGTGGGTTTTCATATAGAATGAAAGGTAATTTTGATACTGCCATTTTTATGTGAGTACTAGGTGACAAATGTTCTATCTGGACTGAAGATCTTTTTATTAGGATCTGATCAGTTGCACTGTTGTTCAACTAGCTGTTGGACACAAATAGAAAGTCATCATACTGCGTGTTGGGCTTCAGGGCTCCTATGGTGGTCCTGATGGGAAAGGGTGTGTCATGGCGGGGAGGTAGAGCCCAGCCATGGCATCATGCATGGAGCCTTGGGGCAGGTGGAAGCAGGCACTGGGTGCTACCCAGTTTGCCCACTGCCAGGCTGATTGTCAGGCAGGCAGAGTGGTCATTGCAGCCGTGCTCTGCCTCTTTCACCTGTGTATGTTAGGGATTTAAGAAGATAATTTCATCTCGGCTCTTGTTTTTACCTCTTTCTTACGTATTTTTAAAAATATTGTGAACTTAATAATCTTTTGAAGATATATAGTTAAGTTTATG